TGCATCACAACATAAATCGCTGTTCAATTGTAGAAACGTCTTAACGGATATAGATACTTAATAATAATAAAATATACTGATATTTGTCGGAGAAATAAGACKATTTTGTGTGGCATTAAGTTTCTATATAATAATATAATGTAATATACTCATGAAGTCATAATAATAGTCCTATATTTTTATGTATATCTATTTATATTGTTTTTATGATTGTATCGCTCCCCACCGCCGAATCAGTGCTTTTTTGAGGAGTAAAAATGTAAAATATAATGTTCTCGTTAGAGCCTACTTCGCGGAGAACTTTCGTCAAAAACAGTTCACTTTTTTAACACCGGTCACACACACACAACTCCTACCACGGTCGTCGTGCTTATATAATATATATCTCGGGCCTCCTCTGCCCTATATGCACACCAGCTAACCAACTCGGAAATTGAATTTAGGCGACGTCAACCACGACGAAGAGGACGGTTTTTCGATTACGCGCGCCCGTCGTCTGTCGGTCGCCGCCGAGCGTCCGTATCGATTCGGTGGCGGAGGCGTAGGCGTTTCTGTTGAGCGAATTATAGGGTTAAGAAACTTTTCGCGCGTCTGGTTCGTTAGACGCCGCCGGTTCGTTTACCGCGGTAACGCGTGTGTGACGCCGCCGTAAACGTGGTTTATGTGTATATATGTACTAATATTTATAAACATAGTATAGTGACCGGTCGATTAAGATTTGTTCATGATGTCAATGCATTATTTGTTTTCTTTCTCTCTTGCCCACTCTCAACATAGACAAAACGCATTTACGCAGAATCATTTTTTTCTCCTATTTTTTTAAGTAATCTAAAAAAAGTTTAGAACGATGATAGGAAAATGTATATACAACTTTTTGTTCTCGGACGATTTTCTCGGTTTTCCGTTATTGGTACGCCCAGCGTCTACAGCGGGGGTACCGGTATGCGGCCTCCTCTACAACTCTGACGGTCTGATGGTGGTTAAAAACTATGTGGAAAAATTATCCCCTCTCATGAAATTTTTCTCACTTTAAGCCATGGGTATGTATAAATAACACCTTCTAGTTGTGTTTCGTGTTAGCTCAGTTTGTGTGTACATAACATATTATGTATCTAGGTGTGCTTTATTATGTACAATATCATAACACCGTCTTATCTAGTATGTTATTATTATTATGATGACGTATAGTCGGGAGTGATAGTATGATGTAAAAATAGAAACGCTAAGCGGTCGTGTAGGTACATCAAACGATTGGTACATAATACGTAAAGTTCAAATATCGAATCTAATTGGTTTTGTTTTTATCTTCTGAAGTAACTGTTTTTTATTTTTTATCGTAGYCGCCTCAATCGTGTGACATACTATCTTACGATGAAGCACTAATGTGCAACCGTTTCCTATCAGCTGGTGTGTAGGCATATATTATATATACTGTTATTGGACTGCAGCTCAGTAATATCAGACCTCGTTGATTATTTAGCACGATTTGTAAATAATGGATATCCTCCATATGTTGTGATGGCCATAAAATTATTATGTGACACACACCGATTTTCAAAATCGATAAAACTCGTATGATACTGTGATGAATATATATACCTATACTATTTCGGCGTGTATTGTGTACATATGTGTATTATTTCGTTTACTGGTCTCTGTTGACCTATMTATATATATATATATATTTGTATGTACAAGCTCACTTCCTTTTTTTTCCGATGGCAGTGTGGTGGGGACCTGCCGTCAAGGGGGGAGAGGAACCCCCGTGGATAAAAATTGATGTTTTTCTAGGCTCGTGTGTGATGGTGGTGGTGGTGATGTTAGTGTGGTGGTCGTTATTGTGGTGGTGGTGGTGGTGATGTTAGTGTGGTGGTGGTGGTGGTGGTTGTGGTGGTGGCGGCGGCGGCGGCGGCGGTTGTCGTCGTCGTCCGACGCGGAAAATCCATAAAAACCGAGAAAAAAAGGAAACGGGCAACTCCCTCTGGCAAAACGGGAATACGTGGTGCTTATGGTGGGTGGGCGAGTGGATAGAGTTGTGTAATAATAATATTAAGCGCGGGAAAAAGGCTGCGGTGGCGCKTTACATTATCATGTTATTATTATTATTTTATATACATTGTGCGTACAGCGTGCCGCGGCGTACAGAGCGCCATCTGAACAATCCAATACATTATTATTATTATTATTACTATTATTATTATTATTGTATGCGGTGAGCCACGTGTTGAGTCACGTGTAGCCGGCCGCCGCCGCCGGTTCACCACACGAGAGGAATTCATGCGCGATATGCGTGTATGAATGTGTGTGTCGTCTCCGCGCGATGTCCGTGACGTACACACGGTTTCCGCGAAATGAAAACGGAAAAAATGAGTTTCCGGTGTGATAAATGACAATATTACAATCTACTACGTGTGTGTGTATACCCGAACACGCAATAACATCATAATATAATATTATTATCGTGACGATAGCACGACGTCGTTCGGAGCGTTAAATTATTGTCATCATATAATATTATAATGTTATTCGGTTAAAATTAAAACATTTTATAACTGGTTGTGTGTCATAGCGAGTGTTTTTAAAAACATTTTTTTGTTCTTGTTCTAGATCGTTTAAATTTTTTTCCGCATCGTTTGCAAGTAGGTACTACTGCAGGCGGCGCATCTATGTTTTGAAACATCATTATGACAATAAACTCTATAATTCATTTTAAGTCAGGTACCTATTTATATAATATATATGAATTTAACAAGGACGCTGTGCACACAAATTTTTTTATTGTAAAAATATAATCTAACCATAAGCATTTTGGAGATGTTCAACGTTCAATCGGCTTATCTTTAAAAATTGATTTTTCATTTTTAAAAGGGTTTTAAATAATATTTTCACATTCACATCGACAGTTCTGTAATATTATTGCATATGTGTACGTATATTTTTTAATACATATATAGCCGGTATTGAATGTTATATTAATACGTCATATTATATAATATGTATATTTGTAATAATTTATCGAATCGATAAACGTTAATCGGTTTATGCGTTCGAATCGTTCAACATTGCTGTAAGACGTAAGTAAAACCTTCATATAACACACTGTATATAGTATCCATACCGGTAAGTATATCATTCGAGCAATGCGCACAATTTTAAATCATATAATATTTATGTGCAGTTTTTTTTTTCATTCGTTGAGAGGGGCTTGTATAGTTGTCAAATATACTTATAATATTATAATTGTAAAAATAATAATTACAATCGAGGGTGCTCGTGCACGTTTTTGTGTTTTCATCGCGGGCGATGACGTGGCGCCAGGTGGTCGGGAGTAAAAAAGGTTTTGCAACCGATCTTCCGAAGTTCGATGCGGCCAATGTCACGACGAGAATATCAACTCTGTTGCTGCAGGTGTATTTCATATTATTATAAGCGTTCGCAGCGGCGGATTTAAGATTTTCTCATAATTGGGTGGAGGATATATATATTATTTGTATGTACATATCTATATTTATAAAAATGGATTGCAAGTGTCGCGGGTGCAGATGGGGGAATCATTTAGGCCGAGCTTAAATGAGTGAAGGTAGTAAGGTGTGTCCGAAGCAGAGGCGAGAGAAAAAGGAAATATTCTTGCGAAATAGTTTAGATTTATCAAACCAAGGGTGAGGAGAAATTGATGGCGCAATGTCTCTGTACCAAGTGGCAAAATGAGTGAGWAAATCCTCCCCCGTATCTGAGCCATAACTTATTAACGCTATTTTTAGAATTGGGCAAATGTCAGACCCGGGTATTATGCTGATTGGGAGACAGCATAAAGAGGCTATCGATTTAGCCAGTAAGTCTGCAGTCTCGTTACTGGAGATCCCCGTATGGCCAGGGACCCAGAGAAACTGTACGTCAAAGTCTAATTCGGAGAGCATGTAAAGAAGRGATATGATTGTAATGATGAGTGGGGAGTTGGGTGTTTTGAAAGCATTTGAGACAAGAGCTTGTAAACATGAAGGAGAGTCAGTTATGGTTAGAAATTTGTTAGGGGTTAGTGTTGAGATGAGAATTAGAGATTCAATTATTGCATAGCATTCGGCGGTATATAGGACGATAACACACAGTTTAAGAAATATAACAAGAGGTRGGATTTTTAACGGGCTACGAAGTGCACGGATTCAGCTTGTAAATTAATAATATTATTATACCTACACTTTTCCTGACAAGAGCGCCATTTCTTTTGTTTGGTCGTGGACGTGAGGTATGACGTCTTCTCCCCGTAGATGTCTAGCTTTTAGGTATATATATTTATATTATATATATATATATATATATGTATATATATGTATGGTTGTACAGCATCCATCACTACCCACGAAAATATTTTACATTTTTATCGTTACAATGTTTCATTACTCACGCATCGCCTCYCCAATCCACTACTCGATAATGAATATATTTACTGACTTAATTGTATTTGTCTAAATCATGATCTAAAATTGTATATAATCTACAATGTTTAAATATATATATATATTGTCTGCGGTTTATTGTACGATTACCACGCACGTTTGTTTAATACGATATAATATCACATATAATGTGAATAATTAATTCTGTGATAATTAATATTATCATGTATATAATATAAATACTTTTTCGATCGGATTACTCTTCCGCCTGGCATCGCACTAAACAGAGTAGTATACGCATGTTATATTATTACTATTACTATTGAAGTTGTGCAATCAAATTGCGTCCAAGTTGAAAAGGGCATTGATGTTTTTTTTATTCTCTTTTCTTTATCAGACGACTAGTCGCAACATCTCGGCATAATAATCGCTATATTATGTTTATCGCTAATCGCGTTTATTATTTTAATAATGTATAGTGGTCTTTATAGTATTCAAACGGACAGTGCTTGTTTTGCTCACAACGTGTGTGTATTATCAAATGTAAAATTTATAATACTATATAATGTAGGTCGTAAATCGRTTTGATCTATTCATTAGGATCATAAAACAGAAGCTCGTTTGATCGACAAACTACTAATTTTATTCAACGAACGTGCAGCTAGATACACATAAATATTTAGCGTATAGTAACGCCGGCGTATTCGTGCAAATGTTTTTTTACCGTGAAAATGGCCAAATAAGCATTTGATAYTTTATTATACGAGTGTATGGTTTTAAATCGGGATCGTCATCGTTCGTCGTGATGAGACTAGACAGGACTTCGAATCGTTTACCCTTTTTACAACAATTTGTACCCGCCACGGTGATTTGATCCTTACATATATAGAGTCTATATTATAGACTGTCAGCTTGCAGTGTAACATCCTAGTGTAAGGATTGACGTTATATGACAATATATTATGTATATGCGTGTGTGTGAGTATACGRTGTGTTTATAAAAAGTTATATAATATTATTTAAAATTGACCCCGATCTCTTGTGGTGCGTGACATGATATGACACCAAGAAAGGAACGTCGACAATAAAAGGTCCGAGCATCACTAGAGGGAGAACTCGTCGAACAGTGCGGTAACAAAATTATTGTCAGCTTCACGTCATTAAATATAATGTGCGTATATGTTGCAGTATGTGCTCTCTAAAATATTTTTTTATTGATTCTTTACAATCTGAACATATTGTGTTTTTATAATTTATTATTATGTTCTCCTTCAAATATATTATATATTGTTCGGAAATCCGATAGTCCACGTGCTTAATATTTCACGAGATTAGGTTCCGACGAAAATAATAACAATAGTAAGGAAAGAGTTGAGTGTATAGTATAAAGATTGTGAAACGTATAACCATATCGCGACATTCCCACATAAAAACGTACATTTTACGACCTCAAAAGAGGGACTCGTTCTCATTCCAAATATCTTTAAAAAAAAAACCATCGTTTTCTCTTTTTTTTCTTCGGATCATTATGCATATTATGTATACTATAGGTAAAACATATAGTAATATATAATATCATTCTCGTAATCACACGCTGTGTGTGCCGTATATGTGCGGGACCTGTATACTGACCCTCCTGCAGAACCAAAAGAGGAGCTATATATTTTATGTTYTATTTTCAATAATTACAACATATTAAGTGTCGTAAGTACATATAGTGTAAATATAGCATTCCAATAACCAATTCTAGTTCGTTCCATCCGCCTCACCTTTTGTATACTTAAATCAAACAGGCTTCTGCAGGCCATAATATTTTTGGGAAAATATGATGCAAAGGGTTGTTTTATTATACGGTGTATTAATATTATATACTCTTACCTCTAGAACTCCACTATTTATCGAACCTCAAATGCCCGGGAAACATACAATTTTATATAGACATGAATCACAATGAAACTTCACATACCTTATTAGTTATTATATAGGTAAAATATTTTATGATTTGTACAGCAGATTTCTAATATAGAATCGACATTATCATCGTATGCGTATACCATTTATTTTAAACAATGATTGACCTACACCGATAATGATTGCCGCACCCTGGCTCGGGGCACCCGTGTGAATCGATAAGCCATTTAAGTATAGTAGCTCACACATTATTATATAAGTACGTTTCCGGACGTCAGAGCTGTCATCGTCCTTATATATATAATATTATATTGCACATCGGTCATAGGACATAATATACTACCCAACTTACTGCACTGATGCACTTCCTACCTACCTGCGTTTCCGTTTTTCCGCCGTGGTGTGCACTGCGCAACTGCAGCACTGCAAGCGCTAGACTACCCCCCCTCCCCACACCATGAGTAGCTCTTATTTGTATATATAATGAGGTAGATGTAATTATTTATTGTAATATGTGTACGAACAAATCCAGAGAGGGTAAATAAAAAAGTAAAAAAGCCGTAGTCGATATTATACACTTTGTATTGTTGTTTACATAGCGTGTGGTCGGAGTCGTATATTATATGTTATTACAATATATAATGTTWACAGAAGAGCGACAGTGGTTAGTAGGTAGATTTATTAACGGTGAAATAATCGGTGGACGCCCTCCACACCCTATGATGATGATGGCTATAGTCCCTTTCGTATTCATAATATTATATACATATAATATAGGTAACATAATAATCGTAACGAAATAATTTAATAACTTAACTTTGTTAAGTATATACACGATAGCTTTGAGCATTTTTAAAAGGATATAATTTAATACAGCTATATTATGTATTATTAACATAATACGCCTACTTAAACCTCTTGGATGGATTTAATATKTATAGGTGTCTATTATGCCATTTTGTTATAATAACATACCTACGTGTTGTATAAATAATTAATCTCCTGCTTGGCTGCTTACTCGTCAAATTATGGTTATTATATTGTCAACCTTACGTTAGTGTGATCAACAAATTTCTCTCGTATAATGACGTGTGATTGTAGTGTTTTATTATAGCTCATCAACGCAGCCAATCCATTATTTTGCGTGTGCATTTTTTCGCGCTCACAAATAAGTTCAAATCGTTTTTTGACTTACAGTGGTGATTTTTTTTCTGTTCAAGGCGAAAAACACGCAATTCCAAATTCRCATACACGTCGCGTATCACACTCATATTGTCTGTATACGTATACCCGACGATGGCGTATATCGACATCGTTTTCCGTAAAATAATAATAACAATAATCGTTACTGCGACGTGTGGTGTTTGACGAATATGGTTGCGATTTTTTTTTTTTAACGTGCGCACACGCCGCCGCGGTGTTAGATTTGCTGCGGCGGAGGAAGAGACGAATCGGGCGAGGAAAAAAAAATAACAACATGCGTATAAAAAAAAAAAATGTTTATACAGAGTCTCTTATTCTCGTCGTCGTTAATAATTCTCGGCCTGTCGGCGCATATTATTACTATATTATATATGCTCGTATAAATTGCAAGTGTGTTGCGTATAATATACATTTATATACCTACATGTACATATATATTATATTTATTGTATAGTTATAGTTAGTACACACTGCGCATATTATGTATTATATAGGTACGTACMTATATGCACTATGCAGTAGGTATATTATCTAGCRTATACATCATATATAGCAGTTATGAAAAGTGCCTATACGTGATGCTTTTTTAATTTTAAATTGGAAGACTTCGATGACAATGATGTAAACACTATGGGGCGGCTGGCGGAAACGTCATCGTCTATGTCGGGGAGAGTTCCTCGTGTGTGGGAGGGGAGGGGGGTTGTCGAACTGATGTGGTTGCTGCCGTAGGAGTTTGTGTTGCACGTCATGTATTGTTGTAGTATTAATTATTATGTATACCTTCATCGATCATTACAATGTACTCGAGCAGAAATCATTGTCTTTAAGCAGCCGGGTTCTCACACATTTGCAGTTTTTTGAAAACCAAACTCAACTTTGTCTTATGCAATATTAAAAAAAAATCTTAATAGTAATCTGTGTTCAACATGTATATGTCAATCAGCTTACAAAACTATCCAAGTATTTGCATTCGAGAAAAAGCAAGTAAAATATTATATATACGTTTACTTGGCTTTATTCTTGTTGTTTTTGTGTTTCATTGTGACCGAAGTCATTGGAGCAAATTCGCAAGTTTATACAACGAAATCAGATTTGTTTTGATTTACTCGTCGTTATAGTATATTATGTTATTATTGTCAGTGCCTTTGATTATCGTTACTCCACGTCGTGTGTGTGKGTATGTGCATTTATACCTATTCAGTTGTAACTGATCGGTTAAATAAAATATGTAMATTTTTCCCGAACGGCCATATCGGTTGCATGTATATTGGTATACTTGTATTAATTATTATGTTGTTGCACGTATGTATAATATTATATCGGTGTATACCGGAAATACGTTTACACGAGGCCAAAGCGCACCCGTGTTATGTTTAAATTTATAATAATTAATAATGTATTGCCGGCATAATATATATTTATTGTATGTTTTTGCAGCCGTCTGCGATTTTTGCAGTATTTTGTTTTTGAATGGTATTAGAAAAATAGAAACTAATGACAATAGTAAACTGTATGTCTCTTCGTCCATACGAAGGTAGTTCCTGAAGTCATCTGGTTCTCCAGATAATTCACCAATTAAATTTACGTGCGAAAATTGTTGTTTTTTTAACAATCAATTTTTCGACCACTTCTTTATATTTATTTTATTTTCATGAATTGTTTTTTTTTAATTACACACACTGCGAGAATAGAGAGCTCCTGTTAATCTGGTAATCGACGACATTTTTGCTACAGTGTCAAGTTAGAACTGAACAAAAATTTGTGTCAATAACTGTACGACTAAACCTAAATAATTTACTCAGTTCATTTGCACAAACTGACTGCAAAAAAATACCTCAAATTAATTTGCCTAGTTCAACTGAACGTGTTGTCATGTCCACCTTAAGAAAAAGATAAATTTACGATATTTTGAATACAATATACAAAGCATGATTTTCTAAAATCCAATTTAAACACACTTAATATGACATTTTTTGAATATTTTCGAACCATCGCTTCCAGGAATACGTATAATATATCATAATAGCCAATGAGACTATTCGCGTCTGATCGATTAGGTACTGTAAATGTGAATTTAATTTCAATTTAAATGGTCTGGGAGTGAACAAAAAATACTAATAAAAAAATGATTAAACTTCGTTATTTAATGCTGGTTCATGTATTTTATTAAGTATACTCTTAATATATTGTATAAAGAGAATTCATGAAATCGTAAGAAGGTTGGAATTTTGAGTTTGTTCTATGTCGCCAATTCATCGAAACAAACTTACAATCAGTATTGAATATAAATGTATAATTAACTACTTATCATACACTTAAATAAATGGAAAAATAAAAATATTAAGGTAAATAGGTATTATAATTATGCGTCTGTATATAAGACATAAGTGTTAAGCTTATGTGTATTAATTGTSTTTAATGTATTTCATTCAAAATTAATATGTATATTATATTCACATTCATTCAAGGTGTTGGTACTCTGCGGTCTACCTATACCTGATAGGGTTTTTTGTAATTCCAAAAATGTTTGTTTTGAAAATAGTTTAWTAGGTGTATAGAAATCTGGTGACAGTTTTTCTTTATTTATATTGGMGTATATGCCAGTATATAGTGTATTATAATTATTTGTTATAATTTTAACTCAATAGCTCATTTACAACGAATTACTATATTTTCTTTGTAACATACACTAATGAACATAACAACTATGATCATAAATGTATTATTTAAATTTTCGATTTTAATACCCCTTAGCTTACACATAAATACAAATTCGAATAAAATGCATACCTAAAAAAAAAAAAACAGGATAGTAGCTGGTTTCAACTCAACACTTTCGAGTGTATTTTGTCATAGGTAGGTCACTATAAATTGGTAATGGATGTGTTATTTTTGAATTCTATGTTAAATCATTCCATACATAAAAAAAGGTTTCTGAGTCTGATCATCTTCTAAGTACCTATATTTTATAATTTATTACTTATATCTACTATATAAGTGATACGGAGTTGAACTAATTAATGAAATTTACCTAATTTTACATAATTTATAATCATTGTTTTTTTAYTATTGCTTATTACTTTATTATTAAATAAAGTTTCCTTGACTAACTCATCTAAACTTATTGTTGTCCCTATGATAATATTATTTATTATACAAATCCGTTAGGTTGGTATATGTCTCTGATATTTTGCCTTATGAAATTACGTGATATGCACCCGGTTATTTACAGGAAAAATCAGATGTATTCTCCCCCACACATAACCACTAAGTCTCAACAGAAAAGTAACAGGGATTGGCTCTTGAATTTTTGAAAACCGATAATTTTTTTGATCCATCCCATCATTTCAAATAATAAATTTATTTTTTTCTAAACGTACATCATAATACTCTTACCGTATATATTATATCGCGGTGTAATGGATTTTCTCTTTTTCTCTCCCCTTTTTTCCCCTTTTTCTGTCACAACCCTCCCCTCACTCTATCTCTCTCGTTCCACTCGTCTACTCTCTCTGTACGTTGTGGGTTGGGTTGACCGGATTGATTTTTACAAGTGGCAGGACTTTTCACACGCACGCCAGATCCCTTAGAGTCTCGACATTTTAACCAAAAACCCATCTCTCTGAAAATATAATATTATTTTGTAGGTCAGAAAAGTATAATAGAGGTAATATTCTAAAGGTATATTGTAAATTATACGATCATCGCTCATCAGGATTAACCTGTGGGTTATCGATTTGCTTGAGTTATTATTTACTTAATCAAATAAACATAATATTATGCATAATAATATATCGAATTTAACTCATATTTACAAATATTTTTCATAAGTCCGTCGCTTAATTTTATATTATATATAGGTTCTATTTTAAATAATTGTACTATTATTTAAAWCATAATTTATTTTTACATCTTTCAAGCTATATTTAATTTTACTGCTTAATTGTAGAMCAGAATAAAAAAATTATAATCACTTTCAGAATACCTATCATAAATATTTTGTTTGATTAATGCCTGATTATATATCTCTATTTAAACCAACAAATGTAATTTGCTGTTTATACTGTTTATTTTAATAAATTTCACTGTTCAATTAATTCATTACAAATGATATTTTAACTGCTTCATGATAATATTTACGTGACGCATGTGTAGGTTATATATACTGAGATATTTAACGAAATATTATGAAAGTATAAATTTAAATCAGTTAGCTACCTATCTTTTTTTCAATAGACCACAGCTTTTGAAAAATAAATAGTATATGTTTAATATAAATACCTTAAATTAAACTAAATTAACTAAAACTTAACTTAAAACTATTTTTTTAATRTCATATACTTTCCTGATACGACTAGTGTCTAGTGCATTGTTATAATGACAGAACGTTAAGAACTTATGATTAAATTTGATAAAATATTTATTACTTTAACTGAGTATTATTATTTTTTTAAACGTAAATAAATAAATAAATTTTATTAATATGTACAAATTTATATTATTTATCATTAAATATTTAATTTAGTCACTTTTAAAATAATCTGTTCGGATGTAACCCGAGTGTTAAATTATGAAATTAAGTTCTGAGTAGATTTAAACGTCGTTGGCCCAACTGCAGGTAGGTAGAAACACCGGTTAATCATAGGTCTAATTGTATAATATTATCCCTTGGCAACCGCTTAATTAAGTCGGGTGCAAATTTGTGAAATGAACAGCTGTATTCATAATATTTTAATGGCATACCAAGACGTGAATCTCATTAATGTATAATGTGAAGAAAAAAAAGAGTGAAAAGATTAAAAAGGGAAATGTATTGTGCAGCAGTAATCTAAAATATTCACCAATAAATATTGTGGTTCGAAAGTTTAAGAGTATCAAATATATATTATATTTATTTATGAAAAATTACGTCATGATTTTTCTGGATTTAAATCGACCACACAGATAGTCGTAATAAAACATTTTAATTTTAGACAATAAATAATATTCCCCACTGCGGGATAAAATATGAAATGGGAAACGTAACATGATCGACGGGATTAAAGTGTTATAAACCGCGGAACGTCGTCTGTCAAAAAAAGATTTGCAGTACATTATACGCAAGTGTATCGTATTAAACGTATTTCGTATACGCATTTCGTATTTCGTAGGTAGTAAACAAAAAGTTTTAGCATATTTTATTATGTTGTTATTAACAGATTGCTCTAAACCTTTGCACGCCATGAGTGTCGTCGTATTTTCTCTTTAAGTTGGTTTATATACCACCAGAACCTCATATTACAATTAATATTCATTCTTTTTCAACATATTTCGYGTTGTACCTAACTATTATAATACGAGGARGTCTAACCTCCCATATTGTATATAATTTGTGCCTTATTAATTTAATTAAGAAATCATATAAGATATAATTATACATAGGTGCACATATTTTTAAAAATCACCGGGCACTCCAAGTGAATACTCCACCGCCAAAAWATAGTATGTATAGTGGCCTTAACCATCCATTCTTAATAATAGTGATATATAATGACCACTTATATTTGCATTAGCGCCATGATACTGACCTTTGAAGTCTGTGATTGATAATTTAAATTGAGTTGGACAATCAGAATTCAAGGTTGGCAGTCAGATAATTGATAAATCAATTGTAGATATCAAAAAACCCTAAAAACTGTTCAGATACACCTAAATTATCATCGAATAAACGAAACATACTCATACTTGCTCGGATTATACACTGATTGTCTGTTGTCTMATCCACCATATAATAATATATTATCCATCAATTTATTGCATTTATTCATTAAATAATAAACATTTTTGAAATTTCTTAAAGAAAATATTTAATTACCAAMCACATTTGATCCCACATTTTATGGAATGCTCAGTACTCTAAAAACATTTCAATTGATGCTCGAGCATCCTATATASWTGGCGTGTATATAAAATGTGTATAAGCTAAAGATGGTCGCGGTATTTTAATAGATTGAATTAACAATTAATTTTATTGTTCAACCATTAGTATAATGCTTCATCAACGGACCCCACATCAAATTCTTTAACTAAACCTTTTTTTTCGGCCCTATAAAAAACTTCCAATAAAATGCTACTCATTACAAGCGATATATTACACGATTTTTATTTAATAATATTTTTTTATTTAATAATATTATACTTTTAAATCATAAAATAAGTTAGGTATTCCAATCAAAATTACAATACTTAAAAAATTGCAAATTCATTTAAACGGGTCCCTGTACTCCAGATAAAATGGCTGTCCCCCTCCCCTTTTCGTGGTGACCCTGCTGCTTACAGTCATCAATAATATACCGTGAATTATCGTATAACCTATCGTTTATACTAATTTTTCTATCGTTGCGCATGTTTCAGAAGTTACAAGACGTTGATCAGTTACAAAAATCGGCGTGCGATCGGCGTCAAAACGAAGTCGACGGTTTCGGCGAAGGAAAGCTGCGACAAGATCACCGTGAGACATCGGAACTCCAAGATCACGGTGCGGAATACGTGCTACCGTCTTTCGGCCACCGTGGTGACGATCAAGCTGCAGGCATCGACGAACAGCGGGGACGGTTGATCGCCGGCTGTGACGTCCCGCTGATCGTCACCGGTCCGGCTCCCATCTATCCGGCTATCCACGCTTCGCCGAGTCCCACCACATCGACCATCACAACCAGCCGCCTGCAGCTCCAGCAGAGTCCCCAGCAGCTTAAGGCCGAGGGATCGACGACGTCTTCTGCCCGTCCGGAAATCATGTTGCAACAGTACCAACAGCAACCGGATTACACGCCCTACGGCGGCATCGGGTACGGTGCGCAGCCCAACGCGGGTTACTTCAACTATGGCGCCACCGAGTCCTCCTGGTATGGTTCGCCGTCGTCGGGCGCCGCCGATCACGCGCAAATGGTGAGTACTGATCCGCCATTTTTGAACGTATAGTCCGTATAGGTTATATAGATACCTCCATGCATGGTGCCTATGCCGCATAGGTAACTTTTCAGGAGGGGGAAAAATATTAAAATTCTCAAATCTAAGCAAAATAAATGTTTAATGATATAATTTCAACATATAAATATAAATATGCTATTATTTTTTATAATTAATATTTTTACGGTATACAATAATTAATTAAAATACATTTTAATAAGTACACGTAATATTCAAAAAATAGAAAAAATAGGGTCAAAAGTATAATTCGWCATCGGTAAATAAAAATAGCAAATTTCTTTGGTTTATTCCAAAAGTATATTAATATAATGTCATCTTGAATGAAACTACTTTTGTTTGAGTTCACTTTTTCTCAGTGAACGCTTGTCATTCACAAGTATTTCATATCTTAGAAGTTAAAATTTTTATTTTATGTTGTCAATATCGTGCTAATATTTATTAAATTATAAGTTCATATAATTTTTTCCAGGGAGGGCAAGTGCCCCGTCTTGCCATCCCCCCCACTTTGACACTAATTCTTCGGCACATGACTGAATCATGGTATTATAGTAGTTAGTTAGTGCTGTGATTAACAAATCTCCTAAAATGTTAGTATGTAGTCTTAAGGGAGGAAGCGATTTCCTACGCATAATTTACCAACATTTATGCATTTGRCAGTTTCAAATTTTGTGAAATTTAAAAGGTATAATCCTCTGCTCTCGTTGTTTTTTACGACGATATTATAATTTTAAGCGAGTTTCGAGTATGAAAATATTAATAAATATTCGTAATTCGACTGAAAATGTTCAGTATTTGCAATATTGCAAAAAAAGTGCCCCTAATYAGGCACTTGACCCACCCCTACCCTAGGATTTTGTATTTGTTTTCTAAAGCATTATCTGTAACGTGCCAATTTAATAAACATAGATTACTTTTTAAATGGAAGTATATAAAATTTATAAAAAAAATTTATATTTGCCCCCCTTTCCTCTAGAAATATGTCCGGGAACACCAATGAATAATAATAATATGATATGCGTACGTTTTAATGTCGCAGCTGTGCGTTGTAATAACCTATAATACGCTCGATGATAATAATAATAATAATAATAATAATTTTTAATATTATGTTATCGCTGAAAAATGCGAGAACGCGTTCTATAATATTATATTATTCGTCTTTCATGCGTTTGCTTTTGAATTTGTGTTTCAGCATGCTTGCAACTCACATATCGGCGAAAGTACAGGAAACTTCCTGAACCAYGGTTATCATCAACAAGCTACGTTGACAGGTTAATTTYGTTCCAAATATTATAATAATATTATTACTATACCTACTTTTGCATATTATTATCTGTCGTCTCGCATAAACGCCGAGCACATCACAATCGTGTTCGCTCTAATGTGCAGACACACTGCACCACCAGTGCGTTACCTATAATACGACTTGTATATTACATACCGTTACATTGTTATAAAAATGATAATATTATGGTTATTCCGCATTATGCCGTGGCAGATGACATTATCTGTATCATAATTTATGCGTGCACGTCATAATATTATTGTAATAATAATAATATTATAATCGTTGCAGGGGCGTCGACGTCTTCGGCGGAATCGTTCGTCGCCAACAGCCATCATCCTGTTTCCCAGACCGACATGACAGACCCCATGGCCGATTTCTTGGGCGGCCACCAAAACATGACCGAAAACGATAAGATCATCAAGGTAAGTCCGACTAAGAAACACGACCCAAACGTTTGAAAAACCTGCATCCGAAYTTCCGCATTTCCTGTGTGTACCTATTATTATTATTATTGTTGTTATGGATCGTGTTAGTGCCGTGCCCAGGATTTTTTTTGGGTAAGGAGCTTAAACATTCAAAMTTAACCCTATAGGAAAATAAGAAATAATTTAAAAAAATATAAATGTATACTGGTAGACACATAAAACTAATTGTATTATTATGCATTTAATTTTAAATTGTTACAATTTTAAATCTAAGCTCACCCGTCAACATTATTACTAATTGCTATGATATCTCCCCTGAAATTTCGGGGGAAGGGGGGGGGCTCAAACCTAAAAGTCCGCCCCTGGATACGGCACTGGATTATATATCGATTAAACGATATTATTATATTCACGTACACAAAACGCCACCAGCACGCTTCTGTATATCATAATTTATTTTTATATAATATATAGTTCGTCGAGCGTGGCGATCCGTCCGTCCATTCCTTCCTCCTCGTCCACGTGTCCTCGTATGTATGACGTACATTCCTGTTTGGCATCCGCCGCCAAGGCTAATATGTGATATTATGATACATTGTTGTTCCGCAATAATATAGTGCTAGTTAAACGAGAAAACCATTTTTTTTTTCCATGCCGATTTCACAGGAGGAGTCCATAGACTGGCTCTCGACCATCATAAACGACGAAGTCGTCGATCACGGTAACCGGTCCGACGCTTGTGCAGATGGGGGCGGTGGAGGTGGAGGTGTGGCGGGCTCGGGCGCCAACGGCAAACTCGTCGGCGATCTGACGTGCGAGGGAAGGGAGTCCAACGGCCGGTTGCCAAACTTTCATCAGGCCTTCGGGTCCACCGAGATAGGCAGGTTCTCGCAGCACGAGTACTACGAACCGCCGAAAGACACGGCCATCAACGAATGCCAGTCGGCGGGACGGTCGGCATCGGCCGCCGCCTCCGCTGCGCAGCAGCAACAGTCCGGCGCCGGCACGTCGCAGCAGCGACACGACGAACAGCACGCGGTGGCGGCGTCGTTTGAACCGCCGCGGCAACAAAACAGGCGTGGACGCGCCCAGCGCGGCGGTGGCCAGAATAGGCGCAACAAGCAGACCAGAACGGCGGCCGCAGCAGCGGCAGCGGCTGCTGCCGTGGCCGCCCAACAGTACGTGGGTTACGAGGTGACTGGTGCCGCGGTGGGCAGGCACCAGGTGCCTCCGTACCACCATCAAGACCCGTACAACCGGAACCATCATCATCACGCCCAACAGCAGCGGTATCACCAAGAATACCATCACCAAAACCAGCAGTACCAGAACCACCAACAGGATTACTACAGGTCGTACGATCGGATGCATTACCAGCAACAACAACAACAACAACAACAGCCGCCACTGCCATCGAATCAGTACTACAATGGCAACGACAACGGTGGTGGAGGCAGTAGTAGCAACGGCAGCAGTGGCGTCAACAACAGTAACCGGGAACAGTCGTACGCTGGCGGATACAACCGTTTTCACTCGTGCTGCTCTACCGAGCACATATCCAGGCCCAGTCATCACCACAACTACGGTCCGGGCCAGTACTACGGTGATTACAATACCTACAACCAGTGGTGATGAGGAGTGATCATCATCATCGCCGCCGCCGTGTCATAAAATATCGTTTTAAATTTAAAAAAAAAGTATATTATAAATAATAAAAATATTATGTTTGGTTTGAGCGCACCAACAACGGCGGGTGTGCCTTTCAAACATTCTCCCTTACCTCCATTCACCTCATCCCTGTCGGATACAAAATTAATATTTTTAACTCACTATATCTGTGATACGATGACGATGGTAATACACGGTACCTATAACGATATTATATTTTGATGTATTATTATCACACGTTATTGTGCAACAACAAAATTTGTGGCTTAAATGTGAATAGTAGAATTTACCGTTTTTTTTTTCTCGGACACTCAACGAGTCAATTATAATGTCGAAAACGAAATTCCCGATTTGCATAACATTCGTCTTCTCGCGACACGTTTTACAAAAAAAAAAACACACACACACCTGGCGTGTAAAAACGGTGTAACTCGATGTCCTGTTTAAAACGATAACTATATACTTATTACTTTGTAACTAAATCAAAACAATATTATGAATGATGCTATTGTTGTGTATTAACGTATATTATTATTATTATTATTATTATTATTATGTCGAACAAAAACCGCGCCGCCTGCGTGTGTGGTCGGTGTGTTTCACGCGACCGACAACGACATTTTTATTTATTTCGGGCATGGACAGTCGAAGAAATGGTTGGCCTCGAGAAACTGTAATATTTATGTGGATTTATATTTTACTGCGATTTGGTGCCAGGGAAGACGTTTTGATCGGTTTCGAGCGGGTTTTGATATCGTCATCATCATCCGGCGTGATGGTGTGTCGTCCTAGTGACCATTCGTCATCATRCGCGCGCGAGTTCTTCCTCCAAACGCCAAGCCAAGAGAAGAAAACAAACCGCGACGACGACGGCGGTCTTGTTTCGATGTTTTATAATCGTATGATTTACATTATAATAGTGTTTAAGTCGTTGTGCCTTATTAATTAACAGTTAATAATGTTGTAAAATGCACCATTAAATTATTATTATTATATCATGATTTTATGAATAAATTATTATATTATATAACTGTATAAAATATTATCGATAGCATATTTTTTTTTTACATACATATATATATATATATAATATTATTATTATATAAAATATAAATGGCGAGCGAATCAGCGTGTTTAAAAAGTCCGTCGCCGGCAGTTTTGTTTACATTTTGTTTTTATTATTATTATTATTATTATTATTATATTGTTTAGTTTTGTTTTCTGATTCCGTTTGTATATTATTATAGTTGAATAATATTATTTCGTATCAGCTGTGTTGCTGATGACAAGATAGAGCAATGATACAAGTTTTTAAAGCTGTGCGCTAAATATTATTATTATTATTATTATTATCATTTTGTTTTAGACGAGACAGAGCCTGCAACAGTTTTTTTATCCTACTAATATTAGTTGTTGTCCGTTTTGTTTGTACCATTACTATATTATTATTATTATTATTCCTATCGATATTATTATATTTTGTACGAGCGTAGTCTTCCTATACATTATGTTATTTTAATATTATAATGAATATTATTATTAGGTCCGGTCATATTATAATAATATTATTATTATGTTTGAGATAATACTATACGTTAGAGCTTCCTCCGTTAACAAAACCTCACGCGACATTATCGCAAACGCGGGTCATTGCGGCCTGCGATTATTAGTTTATTAATCATTATTATCATTATAATTTCATATATGTTTTTTTTTTTTATGGTCATAATTTTTTTTATTGTTTTAATATTTTTTACTTTTCAAAGCGGAATTTAGGCTCAACTGTTACACGGACCAATAGTATGATGAATTTATATACCTACCTAATTATATAATATATTCAAAAACTGAGTTTTCTGTCACTGTGATCGAGTATAATATATTGTATTTGTTACACGTTAATATTATGTCAAATAATGATGTATTTTATTACGATACCGTAGTGCGTGTTTGACCTTAACACGAGAAAAAGATAATAACTATAAAGCCACCCACCATTATATTCCTCCGTAGCTTCGCGAAATCGTGAAAAAATAAAATAATAATCAACCTACTATAGCTTATGATATTATTAATTATACATTATTTTATCACAATCTATATATACTGTATAGATACGTAAATTTAAAGTTTGAGTAGAGAACACTTCCCGCGAGATACATAATATATTATAATATAAGCGTTGTGCCATTACGGTATTGACAATATGATAAGGTGCGTACACACAAATCGGCTCGACCATGATACAGTGGACAGTGTAATTTCAGGTGTCTTTGGAAAAACATTTTTTTTTCTTCCGTTTTGTCTCTACTGCAGGTTTGTTGGTGGTTGTTCGGCGGCACCACCCGCGCTTTTTTTTTTTTAATCATAATGTTTTTCAAATTTGTTTTTTACGTTGTTCTCGCCGACGACTATATATTCTCGAACATCGCTCACGAGATTTGCCATAATATTATAACGGATAATATCATAATTGCCATCATTATCAGAGAAAATTCAGAATAATGTGGCCGTGCCATAATAGTGTTAGGTATAATATTATCGATGTCGTTTGCCTTCGTTACGATTTTAATATCTACCTGTCTTCTCGTGTGATGTGAACGATGTTTGGATTATTTCACGCCTAGAAAACGACTTTTTCTGTCCTGTCCCGACGAGCACACAATATTATCGTTCAAACACCCTCTGCACTTCTCGAGGGTCGGTGTCGTTCTATTATATCCGATTCGTGATGTGTGGACATGACGTTTCCGCCTGCAATGAGACAACTGCAGCAGTCATCATATACGATATTCGACGTCAAACGGACGTTCGAAAACGATCGATCCAACTACATTATAATATTATTATTATTATAATATGCGATTATTACAGTAATAATAATAATATCGTGCCGTATATTGTGTGTACTATAACCGGATACGCATAATTCACTGATAATCGAGATAATCGTGGTCGTTCGAAAAACCATCAAACCATATTATATTATAATATAGACTTTTTTATTATTATTATTATTATTATTATTATTATTTTATGCACACGTTGCGGTTCGGTCCTCTTGCAGTGTTGTGCATACAGTCCTCCACTACGTTATTATTTTCTATTATAAAAAGTGTTGTTAACATTACTATTGTCATTATCATTATTATTGTACTATTATGTTTTTTATGTTAATTTTATCCCCCYTCCCCGCGATATAGGTACATGTTATTTTATTATTATATAATTCGATTTCGAATATTATTATTGTTTGTTAAAATAACTCGTTTATTTTTATGTTATTTCAGAAGACTCTACCATAGTTAAGGAAAAAAAAATATGTTGTCTACTAAAACTACGCGGGATATGTATCGAAACAAAATATCGATTATATTATTATGTACCTTTGGTTATTTTTTATGGAATTAAAAAACACAAAACATTTGGGATGGTTTTTGCATAATGTTAAAAATTATATGATTTAGGCTGCATATATAGTTATTGGATTAATTTATTATAACCCTTATTATATTATTGACTTTTGTAAAAGACAAAAACGAAATAAACATATTATGTTACTGTAAACTGTTACCACGTTTGTGCGATTATTGTTTTCCATATTATACCATATGATATAATAATATTAAATATTGTTTTTGCCAACTATACTCGAATTCTCTTAACTGTTCGACTTGAAATACGTAAGTACCTGTATAAATAATGTTAAGGTATTAAGGTAAATATATCTCTTAAACCTGAAATTAAAACTGTTCGATTGCTTTTAATAGTCGACGCATATTATTTTATAATGCGTGTTTGTGAACTCACGCGAAACATAATTTGTGATAAGTTTTATGCATTTTTGTGATTTGTGTGTAAATACAAGTTGTAGTAGATCATTATGCATTTTGCAACATGTTTAAGTTAATAATATATTATATTTTTGTTTACAACGAATAACGTAATTAAACTAATTGTAACAATATATATTATTGTGTATAACACAGCTATAGACTCGATCAAAGGGCAAATATTTTGTCTCTCCTGGTTATGATATATATAGACAAAAATAAACTTATTCAAAAACATTTATAATTAAATAGGATAAGTTTATCCAACTTTTCTGTGACCATGTAGGCATATAGTTATGACTTTAAACATTAAACAATCAAATTGCGTGAATAACGTAAATAATGTACAA